TTGAATAACTTTCTATTCTACATAGCATACCAATTGCTGCACAAAGAACAAGGGGTAAGTCTCTGTAAATGGTGACAAAAGAAATGTTAGGATGATAACTCATGATGAACACTACAATGGAGAAAACTTTTGTTTATGTGGAAACAAAGACTTTAATTAATTCAATCATTGAATTATGGTATGTTTTATTACTTTAAATTCTTATGTTTTCTTATTTTAATATAATTTTTTTATTTTTTTTAATTTCCATCATCTTTATCACTATTATTAACAATAGAATATATACTCTTAATTTTAACCATTCTAATATATATCCTCATATGTTGAGATCAAGGGGTTATTCCATTTTCAGGATATTTTTGGTCCTATAAAGGTAAAACATTTATTTTTAAATTTTCTGTAAATATTAACATTTATTTCATTAGTTAGTAAATATGTAAATAATCTCCCAATTTAAACCAAGCATGCACAAGCCTGTAACCCCTGGGACTTGGATTCTGAGGCAGGAGGATTACAAGTTCAAAGCAAACCTCAGCAATTTAGTTAGGCCATAAGGAACTTAGTGAGACACTTTCTCAAAACTTAAAAAATAATTTAAAAAAAAGGTTTAGGATGTGGCTCAGTAGTTAAGTGTCCCTGAGTTCTAACTCTGGTACCAAACCACCCCTGAAATATTAATAATATCCCAATATATTGAGTTTGGTCCAATATTTCTGACAGTTGTTTTATGGTAGAAATTGAATTGAGTTTCACTAGTATTTTGTAATTGTGTCTCTTTCACTAAATTAGTCACTATTTAAACAATTGATCCTCTGAACAACCATATATTAAAAGTTCATTAAAACAATGTTTTATAAAATATTTAGTTCAGTAAAATGCAAGATTATTAACTTCTAATATGAACATAATATGTCCTCTCAGGAAGCATAAAAAGTTATATAACAAAGTACAATATTGTTTATTTCCAAGTAATGTTAAATTATTTCCCTTTCTTAACTGTGTGTTCAATAATGAATATTGATTTAAATAAACAAATAAAAATAATTGTTATGCAATAAAGCATTATTTCAATAAAAATGTATTTGGATACCTCTGAAATATCAATGACAAAATAACGAAATATCACGTCTTGTTTCTATATACAGGATGTCGAACAATAGGGCAACTGGAGAAGATCTTCAGTAATTGTCTCACCACAGTGGATACCAGTTGAAACAGCTATTTGTATTTATACTTTAAGCCACTTTCACTTGGCTTTTTAAAGCCAAGTGAGAGGACTTAGCGCCTGATTTTAGTGTAATAAAATTAAAAGATGCTTTGAAGAAGGTAGGAGGGTAAGATTCACTGGAATCACCATTCCCCTAACTCCATTGCACATGGACATTATCTACATGGGGGAAAGAGGGAATTTAATCTATACCTGTGTTAATCAGTAACCTTCCTGTTACTGTAACAAAATTCCTGAAGTAGTCAACTTAAAAATGATGCTTATTTTGGCTCATAGTTTTAGAAGATTCAGTTCATGAATGATTGACCCTGTCATTTTGATCCTATAGTGATCATGTGTGTATGCTAATCTCATGCACAGGATATGAAAGAGATAAAGAAGGAACTGAGATTGTAATATCATTTCCAAACATATTCCTCCAGTGATCTAATTTCCTCTCACATGGCCTCCCCTCTTAAAAGAGTCTACCACCTCCATTACTGCCATAGGCTGGTGACCACTACTTTTATACATGGACCTTTGGATGATATTTATGAAAAACATACCAAGACCTTCAACTTGAAACTCAATACCAGGAATAATATGTCAAAATTCTATGTTGGGCAAAAAACAATAACCCCATCTTGGAGACAATAACTACAAACTGAGCCCCAGGAACGACATTAGCTGTTTGTCTTTACCAACCTTTCCAAACTTCAGGCAGCAGAGGTGGGTGTAAGAATCCATTTCAGGGTTGTAGTGCATGAAACCTGAAACAAGACTTTTCTTTGGAGCTCAGAGCTTGTTCTTCTTTGTGATAACTGTCACCAGGCAGAAACCAAAAGCTCTCTACCCAAGTCAGATCTCACAGATCATGCTTCTATAGATTCCCTAGCATCAGGCAGGCAGAGACTAAAATGCATGTGGGGCAGAATTGATTTTCTCCTGCAACACTGCCAACATTATTGTGGGTTTGAAACAAACTACTATTAGGACTGTGCTGATCCCTACAATTGTGAAACATGGAAACCAGCTTAGCATCAGCCTTGGAGGCTAAGCTACCTGTTTCCCAACCTCGAGCATCATAGCTATCTGCAGACTCTTGCTTGCAAATGGAGCACACAGACCTGTTTTGGATAATGTCTAAAGACTTGTGCCCAAGTAGGATGGACTTGTGTTTGAGTCAGGTATGGCATGGGTTTGGGTGCTCCTCTGAAACTGTATAAATGCTTGTGACCATAGAAATCAGGCAGGTCCCAGCTTAGCATCAACACCAACAGCTAAGGGCAGCCTTCAACAATATACCCAATTGATTACTATCCATTTCACTAGGATTAGAAAAAGGTAGTAAGCACAGAATGTGCTCTGGCACTTAAGTGAGAGGCTGGTGAAACCTAATTCAAAGAGTACCCTGATGCTTCCATTCTCCAGGCCCCTCTGTGGCCAAAGGGGGAAAGAAAAAAAAATTGATTCATATGCCAGAAGGAGACACACTGCCCCAGACTTCTATTACAGCCAGCATCATCTGTATTTGGTTGCAATAATTTTACTATTTCAGAAATGAGCAGTGCATAATAGTGTGGGCCATGTTTCTAGCCCAGACCTGTGTTGGTCGTTTCAATATGTAATCCCAGGAATTGACACAACTTTCTTTGCATTGGTGGTCACAGACATGATGTAGTTACTAAACCTGATCCCTCCATGGTGATTCTGCCCAATGTTAGGCAGAGTCCTGCAATGCCTGACCATAAAGGAGGATTGTTGGCCTTCCTTTGCTCTAGAGAAAGAATCAGGGGGAGAAATGGAGAGGGAAAAGGTCATCAATGGTTTCTAAATTATTGTAACACAACAGAAAGAAATCCTGGTGTGGTATCGCACAGTAGAGTGACCATATAATATAGTCATGTACTTCACATTTAAAAATCTAAAATAAAATATTTGAATATTTTCACAATAAAGGAATGATAAATATTTGAAGAAGTTTATGTAAATCAAGTTAAATTTGATTTACATATTTCAGAAGGTATACAAAAATTCACATGGTAGCCCATTAAAATGTATTTTTATGTATCAGTTAAAACAAATTAAAATTTTAAAAACCTGAATGATATTTAATATTCTAAAAATTAAAATTATTCTTAGAATTTTCTATGGACTGATTTTTGTTTTCTCCTAAATTTGTCTGCTGATAACCTAATCCCCAATGTGATCATAATCTTTGGTGGGGCTTTTGAGAGGTCATTAGGTTTAGTACCAAAATAGATAGATAGATAGATAGATAGATAGATAAGTCTTAAGAAAATTCTATAGACACATAGAGAATAATTGAGGCTATTACAAGGCTACATAACAATTAATAAAATTATTTTTATATTCAAAAGTAGAACTGAATGTGGTGTTGTCTAATTATGTAATGAAACAATCCATCTTTTATCTACTACTGAATATATTAAATGTCTAATTTTAATGTAAAAAAACAATAATATCACTAGATAAAAATCTCAATAAACATTTTTGAGAAAATAAAATGAAAAAATATTATAACATTTAAACTACTAGAGTTCAAATGAAAATATAAAATGTCAATTAAAATGTTTTTCCTATATGTATCCTAGAAACAATCAATTGTTAAAAAAGCAAAACTGCCATATTAATAAAAACAATGAATAAAATGTGTAAGATGATGAGATTAGATCAATCCATCATCATGCATGAAACTGTCTTCATTTGAATGAAAAGATTATGTAAGAGGTAACAACTTGTTATTGGATAAAGATGAAAGACAGATTTACATTACTCAAATTAATCTTCCCCCAAACTAGGGAGCTAAGTATGGAGGCTTATCTAGAGAAAAAGAAAAGGAAAAAAACAAAATCAGAGATCTTAGCTTTGGATTATAATATAATATTTGTCTCAGAAAAACCCAATGACATACAGAAAGCCCCCCTGTGCCAGGCCAATAGTTTTGAATATAAAAATAATTTTATTAATTGTTATTGGACTGAGTTTCTAGACTGGCCTCTTTGCTAGTTGAGAAGTTTAGGTAAGTTCTGGCCTACATTACCACAGGCTAATAAGAGTTGCCTGAGGTCAGAATAAATTGTAGTGGCAGGCAGATCTCAGTGGCTTGGAATCCAGACTGGCATACCACCAGCTTCAGCAACTAAGGGATTCCAGTCTGATATATAATTTGACATGTTGAACCCAAGCCTAGAAAGCTACTTAGCCCTGTAATTGCTGTGATGGTCATGAGATTGAAGATTGCAACAGAAAATCTGTCTAGATTCATCTACAGGATTACTCTCCATGTCCCATATGAAGCCAAAATGCAAAGGCTAGAAAAATAAATATCTCTAATCCACAGACATTGATGCATACTCACAACAATTAGGAATAAGAAGGGAAATATTTTATTATCAAATGGGCAAACAAAGATGCCAGTGATTGACCCTAAAGAGATGAAAATATAAGATCTGTCAAAGAATTTATATTTATTTTTGAAGGGCTCATCAAATTGTCTGGAAACAGACAGAAACAAAGTAGAAAAATTTTGACAGAGAGACTGAAATAATAAAAACAAATTAACAATTCCTGAAGCTAAAAAATATAATGTAGAAAAATGAAAGTACAGTAAAAAATATTGTCAGCCAAATTGATCAAGTGGAAGAAATATCCAGTAAAATAAAAGACATTTTTTTTTGTAAATATATAGACAGAGAAGAAAATATAGAATGAAAAGGAATTAAAACTTCCAAGATTTAAGGGACAATACCAAAGGAGCAAATATACGAATCACTGGTATTTAAGTGAGAATAGAGAATATTAAATGAAGAGAAAGATTATTTTTAAAAAGTGCTGCAAAATTTTCAAAACTGGTTCTATATATATATCTCCAAGAAGTGGAAATTCAAAGATTTCCCATCTAATTGAATCCAAATAAAACTGTCTTGTAAGAGATTATAATCAAACTGTTAAAACTTAAAAAAAAAATCTTAAAAGAAGCTAAAGAAAATAAGTAAATAACAAAAAAATAAAATTCTGTAGGTAGCAATAGAATTCCCAGTAAAATTTTACAGTCAACAAAAGAATAATCATGCGTTTTGTCAGGGGGTGTTGGGTCAGGGTACATTTTGACATAAGTAACTGTTTTTAACATAAGTTTCGGGTTCCAGGAAAACAGAACTTAAACTTACAGAAAAGCAAAACTTAAACTTAACAGGAGAGCAAAACTTAAGTTTAACCTTTATATTCCCCACTTCTTTTTCTGAGTACTTCTAATCTTAGAAGTGACAGATTATTGAGGGGTATCACACTCTGTGTCTGCTAAAGGGACATACTGTTGTCTTATTACCATAAGTTTAACTTGTCCAATTTGAGCTTGGAGAAAGGAGACCACACTGTTGAGTAAACAGGGTCCCACAGTTAACAATAACATGAGGATTATTAAAGGACCAGCTAGGGCGGATAAGAGTGTAGTTAGCCAGGGGGATTGTGTGAACCAAGACTCAAACCATCCTTTTTGAGCCTCTCTCTCTCGTTGTTGCTCCTCAAGGCGTTTTCTTAATTTAGTCATTGATTCTTTGACTACCCCACTATGGTCAGCATAGAAGCAACATTTCTCCCTTAGGGCAGCACAGAGTCCCCCTTCCCTCATGAAGAGGAGGTCTAACCCTCGTCTATTTTGTAAAACAACTTTAGGGAGAGAGGTTAGGGACTCTTGTAAGGCTGTGATGGAGGTTTATAATGTTTTTAAGTCCTGATCTATTGCTGCTTGTAATTGGGCCATTTGTTGAGACCCATGGACCAGGGCAGCGGTTCCTGTACCCACTCCTGTAGCAACTCCTATTTCTAATAATATGGCTAAAGTGAGGGACACAGGTTCCCGGCGGAATCAGGTGGTATATCCCCTTATTTGATCTTCAAATGTATTTGCGTCATGATAGAGCACTCTGGGAAATATTTGTACCATTACACAATAATTTACAGAGTTGTTAAATATCTGGGCTGAAATGCAAGGAGTTAACCCTGAGTCACATGCCCACCAGGTTCCTTTCCAGCGAGGCTCCAGGGATGACACCTGATGTCGTCTTATATAGACGAAGTCTCCCACTTGGTATTGGTGTGGGGTCCCTTCGTCTCCAGGTTGGCAGGAAGCAGCCAGCTGTTTCCACAGGTACTGCTGGGTTTTTTCAAGAGCTTTAAGTCTGTCAAGCAAGGGAGTATGGAAGGAATCATTAAGTCTCAAAGTTGGGGTTAGGTCTCTTATTGGAGGAGGGGTACCATAGAGAACTTCATAGGGAGTAAGATTACATAAAGAGACTGAGGGAGTATTTCTTGAACGAAACAGTGTATAAGGTAGGAGCATAGTCCAATCTTTTATGCCGGTCTCTAAGCTCAATTTTGTTAAGGTCTCTTTAATAGTGCCATTCATCCTTTCTACCTGTCCTGAGCTCTGGGGTCTATAAACACAATGTAACTTCCAATTAATCCCCAGGGTCCTGTCCAATCCCTGACTTACCTGGGCCATGAACGCAGGTCCATTATTGGACCCTATTACCTTAGGCAGGCCAAATCTCGGGAAGATGTCCTCCAGGATCTTTTTGATTACCACTTGAGCTGTTTCTTTTTTCATGGGGAAGGCTTCAACCCACCCTGAAAAAGTATCTACAAAAAACTAGAAGATACTTAAGTCCATACCTTGCTGGCTTAATTTCAGTAAAGTCTATTTCCCAGAATTGTCCTGGTCTGGTCCCTTGTAGGCGCTTCCCTGTAGGAAGCTTGGAAGGGTAAGCATTAACCAATTGACAGACCCGGCAGGCTCTTATTATCCGTTTGGCTATTTCTTTTCGTTGTGTGCTGGTCAGTGGAAATTTCTGCTCTTGGTCCTTCAGGAATGCCTGTAGTTTTTTTGAACCAAGGTGAGTGAGTTGATGCACATCTTTAACATAGTGTAGGGCTTTTTGAAATTGCAGGCTAGGCCCGGTGGAGTCAAGGAGTTCAGTTTCAGTGTCCTCAGGTGTTAAATTGCCTGGGTACTCCGACGCAGTTAAATCTCCTGACTGTTGTTCCCCAGGTGAGGAAAGTGTTAACATGGTTACTCCGGTCAGAGCTGCCAACTTAGCTTCCTCATCTGCCCTTCTGTTTCCGACCGCCACGGGATCATTTCCCTTTTGGTGCCCTGGGCAGTGCACTATAGCTAGTTCTTTGGGGTTTTGCACTGCTGAGAGAAGGCGGAGAATCTCATCTTTGTTTTTTATTTCTTTTTTGGCCGAGGTTAATAGCCCCCTTTGCTGATAAATAGCCCCATGTATATGGGCTGTAGCAAACGCATATCGGCTATCAGTATATATGGTGGCCTTTTTGCCTGCTGCTAGTTCTAATGCCTTCATAAGAGCGATCAGCTCTGCCTTTTGTGCAGATGTCCCTTACGGGAGACTAGAGGACCAGATGACTTTTGTCCTGCTAACTACTGCTGCCCCAGCTCGCCGCTTACAGTCCTGGAGGAAGCTGCTGCCATCCATAAACCACACGACTTCAGGATGGGGCAGTGGCTGATCCTTTAGATCCTGTCGTATACTGGTCTCTTCTGCCAGTATATGTTGACAGTCATGGATGACAGGCTCTGATGATTCTTCAGGTAGGAGTGTGGCTGGGTTAAGTGGGGCTGGGGGTCCCAGTGTTATTCTGTCTTTGTCAAGCAACAGGCTCTGATAGTGAGTTATTCTAGAGTTTGATAGCCATCTGTCTGGAGGCTAACGAATGATGTTCTCCAGGGAATGAGGGGCTATAATGGTTAGCTTCTGTCCCAGCGTTAATTTATCAGCATCTTTTATTAGAAGGGCCGCTGCTGCTAAAGCTTTTAGGCAATGGGGCCACCCGCTAGCCACTGGATCTAGCCTTTTGGACAGGTAGGCTACAGGTCTCTTCCAGGGCCCTAAAGTCTGAGTGAGCACTCCTCGGGCTATTTCTTTTTTTTTTTTTTCAATGTAAAGAGTAAAGGGCTTTTCTACATCCTGAAGTGCTAGAGCTGGAGCAGATAGCAGTGCCTTTTTAATATCATTAAAAGCTTGCTGATGTTTGGGGGTCCATTGGAATTGGGTGTTTGCCTTCAACAGTGGGTACAAAGGAGCGGCTAGGGATGCAAACCCAGGAATCCATAATCTACAAAAGCCAGCAGTCCCAACAGACTCTCTAAATTGCCTCCTATTAGATGGGGGCGGTATCTGCACAACAGTCTGTTTTCTGGGCCCTGTGAGCCATCTTTTGCCATCTCTAAGGGAATAGCCCAGGAAAATAACTTCTTGCTGGCAGATTTTAGCCTTTTTGGCAGAAGCTCTATATCCAAGCCGAGCAAGCTCGGATAATAGTGCTCGTGTTTCAGACTCACAGTTTTCCTTGGTGTCAGCTGCCAGCAGCAGGTCATCCACATATTGAAGCAGGGTGACTCCTGGGTGTGTAGTCCTGAAGTTATTGAGGTCCCTGTGGAAGGCTTCATCAAAGAGAGTGGGGGAGTTTTTGAACCCCTGTGGGAGTCTAGTCCAGGTTAGTTGGCCAGATGTTCCTGTTTCTGGATCCACCCACTCGAAAGCAAACAGTAGCTGGCTATCTTTATGTAAAGGCAAACAAAAGAAGGCATCTTTTAAGTCCAGGACAGTATACCATTTTCATTAAGAATTTAGAGTACTAAGCAGATTATATGTATTAGGTACTGTGGGGTGAATGTCCTGTACTCTGTTGTTGACTTCCCTTAAGTCCTGCTCAGGATGATAGTCTCCTATAGTTTTCTTTACTGGCAGTAGGGGAGTGTTCCAGGCCAATTGGCAGGGCCTTAGGACCCCTAGAGCCAAGTATTTTTGAATATGAGGCCTTATTCCATTTTTAGCTTTTTTGTTTAGAGGATATTATTTAATATTGATTGGGGAGGCAGAGGTTTTTAATTTCACTACTATCGGAGGCTGTTTGACTGCTAAACCTAGTCCAGCAGTATCTGCCCAGGCATAGGGGTAATTTATTATCCATTTTGGGGGTAGCTTGCCCGTTTGATCAGTCTTAGAGGGCATGAAGAGTTGATGTTCATCATCTACTGACATAGTTAAAGCTGTGACTATGGGAGTCTTTACTGAAGGGTTCAGAAACTCCACTTGGGGACCATCAGGGTTAAAGGTTATTTTGGCCCGGATTTTGGTGAGCAGATCTCTGCCCATCAATGGGGTCAGACATTCTGGGATTACCAAGAAAGAGTGATGAATTTTACCCTTCCCCAAGTCCATAGTCCTCTTAGTTGTCTAAGCCTGATATTTACTGCCATTAGCCCCTTGAACTAGTGACCTCTTGTTTGATAAGGGGCCCAATGGATTAAGGGCTGAGTATACTGCTCCTGTGTCCAGTTTGAAGTTTACTGGGGTCCCCTCCACTTCAAAAGTTACCCTGAGCTCGGGGAGGGGGTCCGAGCCCTGACTCCCCTAATCATCTTCCAGGGTTAGGATGGCTGGCTGGCGTGACTGTTTCCTTTTAGGGCATTCTCTGGCCTAGTGTCCCTTTTTCTTACAGTAAGCACATTGGTCTGAAGCCAAGGGCGATTTTTGGCGTGGGCCCAGGTACCCTTTTCTGTCTCCTTGCTTTTTAACTTCTAGTCTGTCTGCTGCTGTGACCAGGACCTTTGCCAACATCTTAGTCTGTCTTTTATTCCTTTCACCTTCCTTCTTTTCCCTTTCTTTCTCCCTTCTTTGTTCTTTTTCTTCCTCTGTCTCCCTTTTATAATACACTTTCTCAGCCTCTCTGACTAAATCTCTTAAAGTCATATCTTGTAGTCCATCTAAACGTTGTAGCTTTTTTTTTTTAATATCTAGGGCAGCTTGCCCGATGAAGGCCATTGCAACAGATGCCTTTTGGTCCTCTGCCTGAGGATCAAAAGGAGTATATCTCCTATATGCTTCCATAATTTTCTCTAGAAACATTGAGGGTGACTCATTAGGCCCTTGGATAATCTCTCTTACCTTGGCCAGATTAGTTGGCCGTCTGGCGATAAGTGGACAGATGCTCCCTACCTTCGAGGGTGTTGGGATCCCAGTTGGGTCTGTTCAGGGGAAAGGCAGCTTCAATTAGATTGGGAAGTTGGGTTGGTTGTCCATCTGGTCCAAGAATATTTTTGCTAGATTCCAGGAGGATCCTCTCTCGTTCCTCAGTTGTGAAGAGGGTCCCTAGAAGCTGTTGGCAATCATCCCAAGTAGGCTGGTGTGAAAACATCAGTGACTCTATTAAACCTGTGAGTCTGTGGGATCTTTAGAAAAAGGGGGATTATTATTTTTCCTGTTATATAGATCAGAAGAGGAGAAGGGCCAATATTGGTAAACTTGTATTTCTCCCCCTTGTCCATCATCAATCATTGGCCCATAGGGGCGGAGGGGGAGCATTACTGGAGCATCAGGATTCTTAATTATTCGCCGTCAGCAGGTTCCCCCTGCTGGCCCAATTTCCTCTGATGGAGGAGGAGTTGGGGTTACCGTAAGGGAGTCATCTGGAGCAGTTTCCTCTACTGAAGGGATCGGATCTGCTTCAGGGGAATTGTCTATAGGACATTGGGAGCTGAGGGGCAAGGGATATGGGGGTGGAGGAGGGGAATCTAGTAAGGTTAGATCCTGAGATTCAGGGAGGATGGAGGGAAGAGGGGGAGGAAGAGGAGAAGGAGTGGAGGGTTTGAGGGACAGAATGGTGGGAGTAGAGGTGGAGGCAGGTACCAGAAAAGGTTTCACCCATGAAGGGGGAGATTCACAGAGGTTCTGCCAAGTGAGAATATATGGCTGTTGATCTGGATGACCATGTGGCCCTGGCTGGAAGACAATATTTCTGACTTTTCGGATTAGAGGGAGGTGAAAGGATCCTTCTGGGGGCCATCTGACTCCGAGAGTGGGCCATCTGATGTACAGAGAGTCTGCCAGGTCCGGTGTTTCACTGAAAAAGAGAGATTCTGGGCCCTTGAGTGGACTTTAGTCCAATGATCAAGGGTCAAAGACAGGGGAGTTGAGGTACCTTGTCCCATAATGAGGGATATGCAAACAGTGAAAGTAATGACACAGACAACAAAGACAAACAATAAACGTCCACCACAAGTTTGAAATAGAAACCAAAACTGAGTAGCCAGCAGAAACTGACGGGCTGGCAACAGAGTCACTGAGTCTGAATCAGTGGCAAAATACACCTGAGCTGAGGGCTCTTCTGTCCCTCGCATCGGGGGCACTTCCATCCCTCGATTTCCCGAGTCCACCAAGGCGTCCCCTGGGGATGTGGCCTGTGGCTTCTGGACACGTCTGTCCACCACCGTCAGGGAGAACTTATGCTCTCCGCCAACAGCCACCTTGCCAAGCCCTAAAATTAAAAGTCCTGAGCGATCGCAAAGAAGAAAACAAAATCAAAACAAAAAGGAGGCGCCTTACTTCCCCCAAGAAATGTCCGTTGGGGTCTTTCGTCCGCCGCTGCCGAATCCCGGACAAGCCCCCAAATGTTAGGGTTGGGCAAACGTTGGAGGAAAGGACCACCAAGAGACTGTCTCATGCAAAAGCAAAGGGGTTTATTGGACCAGCATGCTGGGGCTCAGAGTTCTCCTGAGAGAAGCTGGAGCCCTGAGCACAGCTTAAGCAGAGTTTTTATGCAGTGTTTAAACAGGGAAGTTCATATGGCAGTTAGGGTGCGAGGGTGGGATTGTTACAAAATAACCATTACAGAATAATCATGCGTTTTGTCAGGGGGTGTTGGGTCAGGGTACATTTTGACATAAGTAACTGTTTTTAACATAAGTTTCGGGTTCCAGGAAAACAGAACTTAAACTTACAGAAAAGCAAAACAAACTTGACAGGAGAGCAAAACTTAAATTTAACCTTTACACTTTTTCAAGGTGATGAAGCATAAAACAAACAAACAAACAAAAACACTTAGAAATAGATTCTACCTAGCAAGGGTGTCTTCCAAAAATGAGGAAATTTTTAAAGTTAATTAAATAAAGTTTTCTCAGACTACCAAAACAGAGCGAGTTCATCACTACCACAATTTTCTTTCAACTATTAAAGGGAGTTATTCAAGCTGAAAGAGAAGAATTTGAACAAGCAACACAGTAACATTTAGAAGTATAACACTCACTGGTAAAAGTAAATACACAAAGTGAGAATAATCTAATAATATGATTTTGATGTAAAAATAACTTATACATGAAGTATGGAGGTTAACAGACAATAGTAAAATAATGATTACAATAATTTTAAGTTATATGGAATATAAAAATGTAAAAACTCTGATAAAATTTAAATGAGATGGCTTTGCTTTTTTCTTTGCATCCAAATTTACTTTTTGTAAACTCCATTTACAAAACAAAAATCAATAATAGATACACTAAAAATAAAAATTAAAAAATGGCAATTCAGAACATACTACTTGAAAAAAAAAATCACATCACCACAAAGGAAGACAATAAAAAGAAAGAGCTACCAAAAGTAGAGAATAATTAATAATGGTAGTAGAAAATACCTACATAAAATTACCTTGACTATAAATGGATTAAATTCTAACAATTAAATAATATAGAATGGCTGAATGGACGAATCAATTTTTTAAAAAATTCAAAAAGCCAAACATATATGCTGCATATAAGAGACCCACTTTACCTGTAAGAAAAAAGTTGGAAAGTAAACAGATGGAAAATGATATTCTATGCAAATGTTTAGCAAATTATAGCACAATTATCTATTCTTCTGGCAGAAAAAGTAGATTTTACATCAAAAGAACAAAAACAAAGAAAAACGATTTAAATTAAGAAAAAAAAGACAGCAATTATAAGTATATACGCTTTCAATTTTAAAGTACTTAAATAAGTAAAGTACTATAGACTCTAAGCAACATAGTGAGACTCTCTTGAAAAAAAAATGGGAATGGTTAAAATTGTGGAATAGTTGTGAAGCACCCCTGGATTCAAACCCCAGAACCAAAAATAAATAAATAAACTAAATAAATATGCTACAGATATAGAGAAATAGACAGAAATAGACAGACAATATAATAACAACAAGGGACTATAACACCACTTTCAATGTCCAAAATATTTAGCTGCATACCCAAAAGATTATGCAAATGAATGTCTCAAAAATCAGGATAAGGGAGAGAGCTTCTTTGTTCAGAATAGAGTAATGTGAGCTGGGCACATTAACAAAGACCTATAATCCCAGGTATACAGGTGTAAAAAGGACAGAGAATTGCAAATTGGATGCCAACCTGGAATACTAAGGAGACCCTATCTTATAGTATAAAAAAAGGAAATGGGCAGGGGGTGTAGCTCAGTGGTAGAGTACTTGCCTATCACATAGAAGACTCAACTCCCAGTAGGGTAAAAAAGAAAAGAAAGTTTTGTGTAAATATTAGTAGTTAATATTTATATGCAAAGTCATTCTAGTCTAATAAAAATGACATATTGATTATTCAAAGGCTTTACCAATTTCATTTAAAAATTTATATGAAAAAGCAGATCCATGAAAGAAGAGCCCAACTCAAACTTGCTAATAGATTTTACTCTTTGCTTTATTAAGCAGAAAAAAAATCTATTTTAATTTTTTAAACAAATTTCATCATTCTGTGTATGAATCTTTTATTTTTTATAAAAGTGATGTCTGGGGAAATATTTAACATTTCTTCTAACTATATACAATTTCATATTTTCAATAACTATACATTATATCTAAGTGATAGTGATATTGGTGTTAATTGTGCAAACATATAACATGTAATTTTAATTCACATTAGCTGATTATAGAAAACAATTACTTGGATAAAAAATATACATACACGCACATGTAATTTTACTTTAAATATTCATCACAATACAATGTTAGCATAAAATGAGATATCTACATATAAGTGATTAATTTTTATATCAGTCTTTATGTTTTAAAGCATAGAAAATTAATCTCATTATAACCACTAAGACTTGGCTTCACAAAACTTGATATCAAATCTTACAAATAAGCAATTACTTAATAAATTTAATTTTAAAAGTTTAAACTAATATTCATTTATGACTATGGCTCCTATATTTTCAACTTCTACCTTATAAATGAAAGCGATGACTGTGATTTTGTATGCCAAAATAGGCTGTAGTGAAATTGTTTTCCATGTATCTTATGGATTGATTTTAATTGAACAACATATTGATTTTCTGTCTACCATGTTATTGCATAGTCCCTGACTTTATTTCCATTGACTTAAATTTTTATGGTGGAATAAGGTCAATCACCTTTGATACAATTCTGCAGCCAAAATGTCAGTAAGAGATAAAAAATAGTGTCCTTTCCACTCTTGAATGTACACACATTCTACAAAATGAGTACCTGTATAAATATAATAGTAACATACATGAAAAATATGGACTAGAAATTAGTATTGGATATATTGTACCTAAGGATTGGAACAAAAATCACCAGGGGACCCCATCTCATGGTTCCCTCTGTGGCCCTAATTAGCTCTTTCACTTGGGGTTTCTCACTGTTTAGTACTTCCAGTTTCAGACTGTCTTTAGAAATAATTGATTTTAGTATCAAATCCAAAACATTGTAGCCCTTTTTCACTCTAGAAGAATTTACAAAGTTATAATGTTAACACCTATGTAATAATGCAATTGAGGGACACTTGGTCCCAAATTTCTTGACATTTCAAAGAAAGACTAGAAAGAAAGCAATGACATCTAGCATAATTAACAAGAGGATAAACCAATTGTTACAACCTTAAATGTTTTGATTTTCATTTATTTTCCCAGAAATTATGTGATATCTTACATTGTAAAAAGTCAATTACCTGCTCATAGGACTTCATTTTTCTCTGAAATCACAAAAGGTTCCTCAATAGCAGTTGAACTGGAAGTTGTTTATCACTAATGAGCTATCAGACTCTTAGTGAATTTAATTTTTAGATTACTAATAATTAATGTCAGTATAATTTGCTAACATAGGAATTACAAGTACACAACACTACTGTTAGAGCCACCCATCAATATTTGGGATACACTTAACCTCAAAAACTATTCTTTATTTCTCAGAAATTAAGTATGTGAGTTGGGAAAATTGTTTCACAATGTGATCATCCATCAAACATCATTTTGTACTCCTTCAATATATACAATGTTTAGTTGGCCAATATGTCTGATACTTTATTATATCTCCAAAATATTTAAATTAATATTTTTATTTTTATATTCTTTTTGCTAAATTTGGCAACCGCACTACTAAGGTTGCTACTACTTTTCCAACTACTGCCAATATATTTAGCTTAATATGTGCCCTATCCTTTTTTAAAGTATTATATATGAATTACTACAATCTTCATTGAATTTATGACCTTTTGGCCAACAAGAAAAGTAAAGCAAAACAGGTAATATCACATGCAAATGGCTCACAGAGCAAGTGAATGGTATGTCTGTCTTCAAATTCAGTCTTTCTAAATTCAGAGCCCACATTATTATGATCTACAGTTAGAGCATATAAGATATTTGTCAAGGTTAAAACACAGAATTCCATTCTATAAAAGATGTTTCATTCAAGTGTGATTAGATTCAGTACTATGAGAAACATTGTATGAGCCAGGGAATTTTAGCAGGCTGCCAATATGGAGATTTGATAGGGAATGAAAGAAGATTTGGTAGCCTGGGTGATTAACAGCACAAAGGCAGAGTTGTCTCATTTCCATTAAGAGAAGAAAGCCTATATTCAAAGAGTTTTTAATCACTTATTTTTTCCTGTTTCTTAAAAAGTTTTAGCTCAAACCAAGCATGAATATATAGCCTCTGTTTTAATCAACCACCTATTGCAATTAAGAGACAATTGCCAATATATTTCTAGGTAGGGCAGTACTAACATGACATAGATTTCAAGATACTTTTTTTGTATTTGTAGGACAGTTTTATGGTTTTACAGTCACTTCCCCATGTGGAACTTGATGGCATCAGTCTTCAAGAATAACGCTATTAAGGTTTTGAACCACTTGTGATGAATGTGAACTCTAAATCAGGTCATTTCTACCAGAAAAAAACTAAGGTGGAAGGATACATTAACCCAGTCCATAACTCTAAGGAATTAATTAACTCAAGTATGTTAAATAAAAGTATATAAATACAGAAAAACATCCAAGTCCTCTTGAACACTTTATGGAATATATTGAATGTCCCCTAATGCTGAATTTAGAGTTCATTAGAATTTCATTGTTTTCTGGCTTTTCTTTTTATTTTTTGTACCTGTATTTACTATAGTGACAGCTGTTCCTTGTTGATCTTCCTTTGGCTTATGCTTCTGGATTCACTCCTGGTATATGGTCACACATCCCTAGTTTTCAGGAAGCTTAATTCCTGCTCTCTGGCATCAGCCTCCGCATTAATTCAGATCCTGCTATAGGTTCCCAGCAGGGCTTCATTCTCCATCATTTCAAATCAGCTTATATCTATTCAGATGAGTCATTCCAGTCAATTACCCAGTTATAGACATGGAATCTACCCCTGGTTGGCCCCGTGGATTATAGCACATGCAAATCCTCTTCTAGTCAAAATCCAAATTCAGAGTTCTGCTTTCACACCAGGACTGGATTTTTGCCCTAACAACCGTCTGTATGACTGAGACCTTAACATTCTTTCTAGTGCCTGGCAGTTCTGTGACAGATAGTTAATATATTACAATGTCTCCAGATCAACAGACTGGAACATCTGAACTAATTCTACCATATCCAATTTCAAAGAATTACAATTATTTAGATATCAACACAGGCCCAAAGAAATTTTGTAACACCATTAAATAATAGAAATTTGACCCTTCAT